GGCTGCACCAACTTGCATTCCCACCAACAGTGTAAGAGGGTTCCCCTTTCTCCACATCCCCTTCAACACATGTTGTTTCCTGTCTTGCTAATTTTCGCCATTCTAACTGGTGTAAGGTGATATCTCAATGTGGTTTTAATTTGAATCTCCCTGATGGCTAGTGATGATGAACATTTTTTCATGTGTCTGATAGCCATTCGTATGTCTTCATTGGAGAAGTGTCTGTAATCCAAAATTCTTAAGCAGGGTGGTCTTTAGCTTCCAAGTGTTTGAATTCCTTCCGAACTTCTTCTTGTGGTTGAGTTCCAGTTTCAAAGCATTGTGGTCTGAGAATATGCAGGGAAATATCTCACTCTTTTGGTATTTGTGGAACACTGATTTGTGACCCAGTATGTGGTCTATTCTGGAGAAAGTTCCATTAGTGCTCTAGAAGAATGAGTATTCTGTTGTTTTATGGTGGAATGTTCTATATATATATATCTTTGAGGTCCATCTGATCCAATGTGTCATTCAAAGCTCTTGTTTCTTTATTGATTTTCTGCTTGGATGATCTGTTACTGGGAGTGGCGTGTTAAGATACCTTACTATTAATGTATTTATATCAATATTACTCTTTATTTTGATTAACAGTTGGCTTATGTAGTTGGCTGCTCCCATATTGGGGGCATAAATATTTACAGTTGTTAGATCTTCTTGGTGGATAGACCCTTTAAGAATGATATAGTGTCCTTCTGTATCTCTTACTACAGTCTTTAGTTTATAATCTAATTTATCTGATATGAGAATTGCTACCCCAGCTTTCTTTTGAGGCCCGCTGGCATGAAAGATGTCTCCAAAGGCAAAAGAAACAAAAGCAAAAATGAACTTTTGGGACTTCATCAAGATCAAAAGCTTCTGCATAACAAAGGAAGTGGTCAACAAAACAAAGAGGTGACCCATGGAATGGGAGAAGATATTCACAAATGACACTACAGACAAAGGGCTGATATCCAAGATGTATAAAGAACTCCTCAAGGCACCTCGGTGGCTCAGTGGGTTAAACCTCTGCTTTTGGTTCAAGTCATGATCTCAGGGTCCAGGGATCAAGCCCCTCATTGGACTCTCTGCTCAGCGGGGAGCCTGTTTCCCCCTTTCTCTCTACCTGCATCTCTGCCTACTTGTGATTTCTCTCTCTGTGTCAAATAAATAAATAAAATCTTAAAAAGAGAACTCCTCAAAATCAACACTCAAAAAACAGATAATCACGTCCAAAAAATGGACAGAAGATGTGAACAGATACTTCTCCAAAGATGACATACAAATGGCTAACAGACAAGTGAAAAAGTGTTCATCATCATTAGCCATCAGGGAGATGCAAATCAAAACCACATTGAGATACCACCTTACACCAGTTAGAATGGCCAAAATTAACAAGACAGGAAACAACGTATGTTGGAGAAGATGTGGGGAAAGGGGAACCCTCTTACATTGTTGGTGGGGATGCAAGTTGGTGTAGCCACTTTGGAAAGCAGTGTGGAGATTCCTTAAGAAATAAAAAACAGAGCTATCTTATGGCCCCGCAATTGCACTACTGGGTATTTGCCCCAAAGATACAGATGCAGTAAAAAGAAGGGTCATCTGTACCCCAATGTTCATAGCAGCAATGGCCACAGTCGCCAAACACTGGAAAGAGCCAAGATGCCCTTCAGCAGACAAATGAACAAAGAAGATATGGTCCATATATACAATGGAATATTATACCTCCATCAGAAAGGATGAATATCCAACTTTTGTGTCGATATGGACGGGACTGGAGGAGATCATGCTGAGTGAAATAAATCAAGCAGAGAGAGTCAATTATCATATGATTTCACTTGCTTGTGGAGCATAAGGAATAACACGGAGGACATTGGGAGGAGGAGAGGAGAAGTGAGTTGGGGGAAATTGGAGGGGAAGACGAACCATGAGAGACTGTTGACTCTGAGAAACAAACTGAGGGTTTTGGAGGGGAGTGGGTGGGGGGATGGGTGAGCCTGGTGGTGGGTAATAAGGAGGACAGGTATTGCATGGAGAATTGGGTGTGGTGAATAAACAATGAACCTTGGAACACTGAGAAAATAAAATTAAATTAAAAAATAAAGCAAACAAAAGAAGACAGGCCCTTAAATACAGAGAATAAACAGATGGTTGCCAGAGGTGATGTGGGAGGGGGACTGAATAAGAAAGAAATTGACAGCCTGTTAAGCATTTAATAATTGCTCAATGCATGAATGAGCCTTAGCTATCATCCAATCCATTTCCTCTCTATTTGGTGCTAGATTATTTTGCCAGATCCGTCATAACAAAATGTCACAAACTAGGTGACTAAAATACAGAAATTTATTTTTTCATAGTTCTGGAGGCCAGAAGTCCAAGATCAGTGTCATCAGGTTTAGTTTCTTCTGAGACCTC